ACCATGTAGATGTGAAGCTCACTCCTGGATTTTGTACAGTTATTGCCAGGTTGAAACAACTGACAGATACTTGATATTTCAAATAATGGGGTCAATGTCTAATTAATTTCTCCTATACATATTACTCCATCATTGTATTATTTATTTCTGGTTAGACAGTTTGAGAATTTTTTTCTGTTAAATTTTGCTTTCTGTACTTTGATTTTTAGTTAAAACCCCTACTTTTACATGTCTGTAATAAACTCTTGTAAACAGATATGTTTAGATTGAGTGGAATACAAAAATTAAATTAAATTTGCAATTGAGTATTTAACTCTTAAGATGCAGGTTTTAATAATTAACCTTTTAAAAAATATGATTCTACGTGAATCATTTTTATCACTGAACTGCTTAGGCAGTTTAAAATCTTTGATGCTTGTGTGTATGCCCTATTTTGTTCTTTGCCCTGCCTGGATTTAACCAGTGAGATCAGCTAATCTCTTCAGTTACCAGTCCTAGGATCCTTGTCAGACTTTCTGTGGGACTTTGTCTAATCCAGTGCCAAAAGACATAGAAGTATGAATCTTGATTTCTTCTTTGAGAAATTAACCCACCTATTAAATACCTCACCAGGAGAGAGAAAAATTGCAAAGATGAAGTCTGATGGCAGTTTTAGATGAAGACTTAGATAGTTCCACACTTTTCTTTATCAGCTTAATCGTAGAACATAGCAGGAAATGGGAATACAGATACATGTCAGAGCGGTTACTCAAACACAGTTGAGCTTTTATGAGAATCTGGGGATAAAACTAAGAAGTATGACCATTTGGAAAATGAAAACAAGTAATGATGCCTCAGATGCATATGTTTTTGTTTTCTTTCCTGGAGTAGATGAGAACTTTTGTTTCAAATTTTCATTTCTAACATGTGGAGGCAGTTTTCATTTCAAGTTTCTCTTTGAGTACTGTTGTCTATAAATTCTTCTTCCACAGAGAAGGATAACATTTTTCAAAAGTGGTAGGAAAAAGATATTACAAGAAGAAATAAAGGAAAGTAAGGAACTCACTATGTATTAAGTCATGGTGTAGGTGTGCTCATCTGGGTGAAAAGAGGTTCTTAAGCAGAAATGAAAGTGATGTGCATTTCAGGCCATGAGGATTTATGCCATTTTCATTTGGCAGTGTCTCCTGGTTTCATGCTAAAAGTTCATTTGTGAAAATGCACGATTTCAAACTCCATCCCTATTAAGCCGTGTGTTTCAAATGCCACAGGGGAAAAATGTGCTATAAATAAAGCCCAGGTGTCCCTTGGTATGATTTTAAATTACTTAATTCAACTATGCATGTCATATACTGATGAAATGATATCTATTTTTACACAAACTTGGCAGCAAGTCAAAAAGGAGTTTCTGTCATAAAATACTAACATCAGTGTTCTAAGACACAGGACCACAGTTGAGTCTGGAAGAAAGAAAACTCTCTATTCTTGAAACAAGTATTTATTTTTAACTCAAAATTACTTATTATTTAAATCACAGAATAGAGTACTATGGGATACTCTTTTTTTCATAATTAGATTCCTTCACATAATAAATATTTGGCTTAAACACTTCTACCATTTAATTTTCTTACAGTACTCCAGAATAATTTCCTTATAGTACTTGAAAAAGAACCAACATTTAAAAAAGAGTCCAGTAAAACCAACAGTCACTGAATAAACACAAGAACATCTATGTTATGTATTAGTTGAAAGTGAACAGAAATATAACTTGGAAAAGCATTCTGTTTTGCCCCACTGATATTATGATGAAATTCCTGGAATGGGGACTGGTGTCATACTCTAACTTTTGACCATTTCAAATGGCAGTACCTGGCAACAACACCTGGATAATGTTTCACGTAGCCAAAGTGGGGCTGTTCTGTGTATTTCTACAACAGACTGTGTATTACCGTATTTATTTGTTTAACTTTTAGGCCGAGTACACTCTGCTGTGTTGTAGAGCTATGTTTCTCTTGTCGAACTCTGCAAATGAGAGACCACCAATCAGTTCACGGAACTGCTTCTCCTATCGGTGTGTCTGAGAAAACCTTTACAAGCAACTCTCCCTCACACTGGAATCCTTTTTACCTGTAATGATTTTCTGTTTCAAATAACTGAGATCTTATTTTCTCTCTGGGGAGAGAAGACTGCAAATTTTGTACCACTATGTTATTTTTAAAAGTATAAATTCAACTTAATCACGAAGTAGTTCTGATACTAAAATTACAAGGGTCATCGTGCTCCGTGGATAACTTCTACTTAGGTTATATTTAAGTGCTGTGATAAATTCTACTTGTGTCATCCCCATTTTAAGCTCATATATTTGTTAAGATAAAACAAGGCAATCATATTCCTGTAATTTCTGTATAGTTTCAGTTTTATCCCTTTTTTGTCCCACTCTAATTATGAAGAATTTATATTTATTATCAGTCTTCGCTCCTCCTGTCCATACACACATCTGCATTACTGACCTAGCGTTAATGAGTCTTGTCTATGTCCTTTTCCCGTATACGAAATGGTAATCTACGGCAGTGACTCTTAAACTCAGATTCTTGTAAGAATCACCTATAAGGTTTTATTTCTTTATTTTTATTTATGTATTTTAAAAATTCACATGCTAGTGCCACTGGAGACTTGCATCCAGGTCAATGGCATTGAATTCAGGCGTCTGTAAATTCAAAAAACGTGCTATAGATTATTATTAATGCCTGATTTGTGTCGGTGGGAACCCACAGTTGTCTTTTTCTCTACTCATTGTTGGCAATCTCCTTTCAAATCATTGGAAACATCAAGACTGGGCCTTCTTCTTAGCCATATCTTGGCCATATGTTAATATTTTCTTAATCCAGATTGTAATTGGTTTGAAGCGAAGAGTCCGTTCTTCTTCACTTTTGTATTCTTTATCCTAGCAGTTTTTCTTGTTGTAAGTGCCCTGAATATAGTAGTAATTAGATATATTCTTTGTTTTCATGAATTTGCTAAAATCCTAATGCTACATTTGTAGGAAATTTTATTTCCACAGAGAGTTTTTTTTTTTTTTAAGAAAACATGATATATTTAAGTCAAAAATTAGAAGTGTTAATTTGTGACTACAAAAGAATTTTAACCTTGCTCAGGGATTCAAAACTAAGTGATGTATAAACAATTTAAAAGAGGGGCTGGAGGGAAAAACAAAAACAAAAACAAAAAGCCTTGAGTGGAATTGTTAATGGACCTTGCTAGCCTTGAGTGGAATTGTTAATGGACCTTGCTAATTTAAGATTAATTAGAAAAGAAAGTTTTTTAAATCCTGTATGATTTTCTAAAATTTAATTTTTATGTAATTTAGGACCATATCAAAATGAGATTATTGAGGGCATAAAAATCCACTGGAGTTCTAAGTTCCAGAGAAATAACAGGGAAGTAATAAAGAACAAAAAGGAAAAAGATCATACACATATTTCCTGCCTCTCTTTTCCTCTTAAGGTTTCCCATTTAAGCAGAGAATAGACTGGATGAGAGACCCAGGGTTGACCCAGAGAGGCTGGGATGATAAAGACTGAACTACTCATCACTTGGAATCAAACATTAACTTTTCTCTATTGAAGAGTCTATTGTGAAGTCTTGTTTACTGGGCTACTGACCAACTGTTCTACATTTGCAGGGGAATAGTTGTCAGTACTCCTGGAGTATCCGGCAATCGGGGCCTTGGTCAAAACTCTAGAGAAGGCAATGTTAATTTTTTTTCACCTCCTACTTATTATATTTATTTATTTTGGGGGAAACTTTTCGTCTTCTCTTGTTTCCTGCTTCTGCTTCCTAAAGAGTGCTCTTTGCTTTCTTTCAGGCATCTTGTATTTTCTACTTAATTGAAGTCCTCCATTCCTCGATAACCACTCTTTGTCTTCTTTGCTTTAATCAAAATGATTGTTTCTGAACTAGTATCTCCCAATTACAAATCTGTTACCTGATTAACTCCCAGTTATATAAAACCAAGACTTAAAAGGTCCAGTACTTTTTAAACAAGGCATTAGTAACCCAAATTGACTTGTCATTGATGCAGTGCAAAGGAGTTAATTGTACTGCCATTATTTTTTCATTTGATTTGTATCGTGGACATCTTCCCATGACAGTACATTTAGAACTACTTCATTTTTAATAACTACATGTTATTGTAACAATTGTATGGATGTGCTCAATTTTCCATCATTCTCTTGTTTGTGGTCCTAATGATAATTATTATTATCATCCCAGACATCCTTTTAATAATGAATAACATTTATTAAACCCTTATTATGTGTCACGCACTACCAGATAGTAAGCGCATTACGTATATCAATTCACTTGATTATCATATCAGTTACCCTACTAGGTAGATGATATTGGTAGCCTCATATTAGGTATGAGAAAATTGAGGCATAGAGAAGATAAACAATTTGCCCAAAGTCACTTTTCCAGTAAGCGGCAGAAACAGGATATCAAGTTGGAAAGAGTGTCTTCAGAGCCAACACTGGACTTGACCCAAGCATTACTGGTTGTTTCAATTTTTTTTGGCAGTTACACAAAGTGCAACAAATAACATCATAATATATCAAAATTTGGGATATGTTTATAGTTTTTCCTAAGCTCTTCATAATGGACATTTTGGTTTAGAAGCAGTGATTGCAATCATAAAAAAGGAAAATATAAAATCATAGAATCTCCAGGTTTGAAAGAAGGACTTTTCTATGTAATTTAGTTGAATTGAAACAATTGTGAATCTCAGCCAGTCGTGTTCTCACCTGATGTCCAGAGTCCTAAAGAACTTGTTCAGGACCTCTTTGGGCTAATACATGTTCCTGCTTTGTGTCATGTTTACTTGTGTATATGTCTCATTTCCCACATTTCATTCATGTGTTTATTTCTAATTCTGCTGCTAATTGTTTTACATACAAAAGACACCAGTACTATTGTGGCTGAATTATTTCAGTATTTTAATGTATACCTTCTTTTCTTCCAAACAGGAGCAAAATTTATTGGAACTTTCCCCATCCCAGACACCTATAATCCAGATGATGATAAAATATATTTCTTCTTTCGTGAATCATCTCAAGAAGGGAGTACTTCTGATAAGACCATCCTTTCTCGAGTTGGAAGAGTTTGTAAGGCAAGATATATTTATTCCACTTAAGGCATATGTGTATGTGTATGAATAATTAACCATGTAATGTTGAAGTTAATTCCATTATTCATAAATGGTAGAATACATTCATATTATCTTACATGTATAATTTTTGAGATCCAAAAGTAAAAAGAAAAAAGAAGGATGCAAAATTTTCCAATATTACAAATTATTTTTTCCAATCCCTGAGCTATTCCCCAGGTTTGAGTTAGATCTCTTGGGCAGCTTGCTCCTTTTATTGGTGGGCTATCCCTTTGCCAGTTATTACTATTCCCAGTAAGATCCCTGCATTGTCCTGATCCATGGAAGTTAAAATGTTTTGTACATTAAATAATTTTATTTTGAAATTGAAAGTAACTTAGCATACTCACTAGAGTTCCTTAAACACTAACAAAATCATATCCCATATTTTTATCAAAACACATCACATGTAAAATTATGTATCTTTACAGGAATCAAATAAGTTGAAAATGCAGTTATATAGTCTTATTATTAAAATACTTTCTAGAGCATTAACCTAGATTAGGTTCTGAGAGAAAAATGGGATAGGAAGGAAAGAAAACAATCCAAAAGGCAAAACATTTATCTTGAAGAACACTGAAATTTGCTTTTTAATATTGCCATTTTGTGTAAATTACAGGAAAACAACAACTCTATGAAACACTCCCATTTTGTGCCATCAAAGTTCTCATTTGAGCGAATACAAGCTTTATAGAATAAAAATGCTACTGGAATCATACTTCTCAGTATATTCTTTTGTTAGTTGGATTTATCTTCACTGAAATCACTTTTCTTAAATGGTCAGACACCTTCAGCATTAACTCAGTTATTAAGAGGAAGAGCTGTTAACTTAATAAATACTCTCAGCGGGAAGCTTTCTTTGGTCTTGTACAAACTTTTCATTTTCTTCCATCTGAGCCTATGACTTTTTTTTCTCAGTCTGTGCCCTCAGGCTTTTGAACACTTCCAGGGACAGAAATATAAACCGTCATTGCGCTTAAGAGTGCTAATGATAACATGGCTTTTGAATGAGACCAAACTTGTGAGCGCAGATCATTCTTTACCTAGTGTCCGAGCCAGTAATGCCGTCCCCCACTGATCCCTTCACCCCCAGGGGACAGATTCTCTAAAAAGCATCCTCATTCTTTCAGAGTCTAAGAATTCACAGTCATTTCTCTTGAAGCCTCTCGCCGAGAGATGAATGGCCATTGCTTGGAGTAGTCGTAGCGTGTGAGTGTACTGAAGCATGCCTTAGAACAACAGTACCCCAGCCGGAAAGCTGTGCTGTGGATGGACATCATTTGTATAAATGAATCACGTTAAGTATATCATAAGAGATTTACAATCAATTAAATGTATTTTAAGAGTCACTCTGTGATGAGCACATGTATAACAAGTGTGGGTTTTGTGAAGCAGTTCAATACTTATTTCTTGATAGGTCAAATCCATTTGATAGAAATTCATTTATAACAAGGTAATGTTTTTCCACTCATACTAAATATACTGAAAGTTACTTTTAGAGGTGGAGAAACATATTAAAGAAAAATTTAGCTGCCCCATTTATAAATTTGTATCATAAAAATATAATCTAGACTTTAAGTATCAGCCATGGGATATTTTATTTATGAACAAACTCCTATAGAACTGAAAAGACAGAGAGAATTGTAGTACATAAGTCTTCCCACCACAAAAAAACTCTGAGGCCACCCAGCAAGATTTTGTCATGCTATTGTGTTTGGATAAAAAGCTAACAAATTGTGATATCAAATAAGGACTTGTGATGGATGAATTTCCTTAAAAAAAAAAAGAGAGATAATAGAGGTTCTTCTTAAATTGATGTATCTCTTTACTCAATCCCTGTCTTCAATTAACACCCTCTTCAGCATTTCCCACTACAATATGATCCACTGGTCAATGTTTACAATATTTGGTTCTAAATGCATCTTTGTAATTTCTTAATTGCCTCCCACCCTGCCCAAGTTACTAACTTTATTTATTAATTTAGGATTAAAGTGCGGTAAAAAGTGAGCACTCATAAGTGGAGATTTCACTGTCAAGATTAAAAATGACTTGAAGTCTTTTAAAAAAGAATGTCCTGCAAAACAATAACAAGCTTAAATTAAAAAATAGCTTTTCAGCATCATTGTTGCTGTTATACATTATTTTCACATAAAAATGTCCTTGTGACATTTGGGGGAACATATTTATTCCTCTCTGTTTCATTTTTTTTTATCCCATGAGGTAATTATAATATTGTTTTTCTGTTTTCAACAGGTAGTAATGTAATGTACATCTATGCTGTGAAACAAAATTAAGTTCAACAGATATAAACAAAGCTAAGAAGGAAGAGAGCATGCTAGAGAGAGTTAAGAGTAACTGTGTACACTGTTCTGAATTTACAGAGCTTGTCAGTAACATGAGAGTCCTTTATACTATTTGTCCCACCAGGATATTTCCACAGTACCTATTTATTTGGAAATATTAAGGTTTTGTTGTTCTTGTTATTATTGTTTGTTTTCATTTTTACCTGATAACCTTCAGGCCAATGAAAAACTGTTGACAGTTTAAGAGCTCCCTATGTCTTCAGCTACTAAACTAAAGTAAAAGTTGTTTTATTGACCTGTCAAAGACATTACTGTTAGTCAGTAATATATAGTGATTGGTGGGGAGGAGCTTTTGGAAATAAGCAAAAATTACACAAAATGAACAAAGAATTGTTTACAGGATAAGGGTGAATCTCTTCAATTTTGTAACCCATTCCTTCATTATTTTATCATTTCATTATTTCAACAAGAAAATATAAGTTCTGTGCAAAGTGCAGTAAGACTAGACACTGGGAGGTAAGTAAACCACTGTCCCTTTTCTTTAAAACCTTAGAGTGGAGTGAGGGTAATAGAGACATAAACAGATAATCACAATATAATGTGATCGAGGTCAGACTGAGAACTCTGTGCATTCAGTGAAGCTCAAAAATTGAGTCCTACAGGGGTAGGGAGACTACACCAAGGACAGGAAAGGAGGATAGGCATTTCAGGCAGCATTGTGACAGAGTATATTTTGTTTAAAGGACAGTGAAATCTTGTTGTCAGTGGAACTCGAGGGGTAGTGGGGAGCAATGTTATTCCATAAATTCTGGTAAATTGGAAGATAAGCAGTATTATTTTCATGGTAAGGAGTTTCAGCTCTGTTGTGTAGACAATGAGAAGTTATAAATGTTTTTAGGAAGAGAAGTGACTTGATAGGTGTTTAGCAATTAATTATTTCAAGAATATATCTGGCCTGAGAAATACGCGTGACTGGGAGACCTTTTAGGTAGTTCCCTAAAGAAAGTAGGAATGAAGAGATACATATAAGTTCAAGAGATATTTCTAAGATAGAATGTATGTGTCAATTTCTAAAAGGTCCTTAATTTATTACCACTCTTTTATTAATTGCCCGGTGTAGACAAGTGCTGTCTAATATAGAATTTTCTGCAATGATGGGAATGTTCTGTATCTGTTCTCTACAGCATAGTAGGCATGTTGACATGTTAGTGTTGACTAGTATGACTAAGGAACTGAATTTTTGATGTTATTTAACTTTAATTAATTGTAATTTAAATAGCCTCGTGTGGCTAGTGGCTACATTATAAATATAGACTCTCAAAACATTCATTTACTTAACACATCTATTGGTAACTAACCCTGTACATGGCATTGCTAAGCAGTAGTCTTATAGAAGTTTTTTTCAAAAAAGACATCATACTTGTCCTTACTGAGTTTACAACCTAGTGCATTATATATGCATTAAACAAGAAAGCACACAGATTAACATATAAGTGGAAGGTGTGATAACTGCTATAATGGAAAAATCACAGGGTCAATTAGGAAGAATAGGTGGGCTTTAGATTGTATATGGAAGGTCTCTCTGAGAAAGTGACTTTTGAATCAGATGATAAAAATGATGAGGAAATTGCAGGGCAAAGGTGACAGGGATGGGGAAGAATATTCCAGGCAGAAGGAAAAGCACATGTGAAATCTCAGAGGTGGGAAAAAGCACTTAAGGAATAAAAAGAGGTTTACTGTGACTGGAGCAAAACAAACATATGGAAAATTAGCAGGATAGTGACTGTTTCCTTTTAAAACATGCACGAAAGTTCAACAGAAGTCTTCAGAAGTCTTATCTCTCCTGTTCATAATTAGGACTGATTAATAACTGCAGGTATTGATTCCACGACGTACATAAAAGGCTGCAACAACTTCCTGTCCTATTAGATCCTCCATGCATTTTAATTCTCCCTCACTCCTATTCCAAGACCTTGATACTATCCCTGTAGACAAAAGACTCCTATACTGTTAGTAACTGTGCTTTCCAGAAGATACGGCAGAAATTAGGAAAATGCACAAAGAGATACATTCTGATATTTAAGAAACACCAGAAAAAGTTTCTGGGCATAGATTTTATATTTGAACATATTGAACTTGATGTAGTTCTGGGTTATGCTGTCATAATAACCAGTTAAAAATATAAACCTGAGACTCAATAGGGTCTAGACTCAGGAATGTAGAAATCACCAGTGTATTGGTAGTTCTTGAAGTCATGGAAATGTCTGAAATTGCCCAGGAAGATTTGTAGTACAAGATCAAACAGCAAGGACAGGATCCTGAGGGACAATGACGTTTAAGAAAAAGCAGAGGAAAATGTCCTCAAGGGCAATTGAGAAGAAATAGTTTGATAGCAGGTAGAGAACTGGACGAGAGTACTGTCACAAGTCAGGGATAAAAACGGTTTCAAGAAGAAGGCAGTTATCAGTAATGTCACACACCAAAAGGAAGTCAGGTAAGATTATGACTAACAGTCACATATTAGTTTTGGCAGTAAGGATATAATCAGTAACTTTTGCCCAAATGATACAAATGTTAACTTGAAGTCAAATCTAGACTTACATCTCTGCTTTACTTTTTTTTTTTTAACATCTTTATTGGAGTATAGTTGCTTTACAATGG